ATGTAAACGTTTCAAATTAAAAAAAAAACTGTAAAAATAAATTTGATAAAGTACAAATGAAAATAAAGCCTTTTTAAACTTTTGCAACCAGAAGCTGCTCTTCATATTAGTGACAAACAATAACAGTAACAACAGCTTTTTGACAAGTTTAAAATTTCTTTAAAATACATTCAAAATATTTGAAAATAAACTACAAAAATGTATTTAAAGTGCAAATTAAAATATAGTTGTATCTGCAACAGTATTTGATAATGTTTTGAACTTTTAAAATATTTCATGGTAAAAACAGAAGCTGCTCTTCATATTAGTGACAAACTTTGGTGTTTTTTGATGAGTTACTTTCATTTTTGTTTCTACTTTTAATTTAAAATAAGTTTTAATTCTCGTCAGGTTTCTGAGGTTCTTCTTCCACATATTAAAAAAGTTGAGTGGCGCACTACCGCTACTAGTGGTGAGAAAGTGTATTGCACCTTATTCAAAATCAATGCGGTTTCATGGCCCAAAGTTAAAAAGGGTTGTTCTTTTGAGGCCCTCAAGGTGGCGCTCCCGCGGCCCATAGCTTAAGAATCTCTGATTTAATAGAGGAATATCTGAACCGGCTAAATGACCACCCAGTACGTGTTTGATCAACCTTGTAGATCTTTGGTTTCCTGGTCTGCATGGGCGTGATCCTGGCTGTGGGGAACGCAGTGTGGGAGAAAGAGGTGGGCTCTTTGTTCCAGAGCTACCTGCCCTGGGACCCTCCTGTGGACAACTTCCTGTTCTCAGCCTTCCTGTCCTTTTGGTCCTACGTCATCATTCTGAACACAGTCGTGCCTATTTCTCTGTACGTCAGGTAAGAGTGAAACAAATCACAAACATGAATGTATGTTTATAAGAGACAGATAAGGCAAGACTCAAACATTTATTTGGAGTAAATTATTGCTGATATATCACAAACAAACTCCTCCATGCTCTTCTGGGTGAAGATATTTGAAAAAAAAAATCATGGTTATTGCCATCATACTGTTTTATAACGTTGTTTAGAATAAACAAAAAGTAAGGGAATTTGTGTTTGGCAGATTGTTTTTTTTATTGTAACAATGCTTCTTGGCAATAAATCTTTTACTACTGAAAGCTTTTAAATGGTGCCACATGTGTAAGGAACATGCCTTTGTGGGATGAGCAGTAGAGCTGAGCGTGTGGGTGTATGTGTCATCATCTCCTGTGTGTTGTTGCGTCAGTGTGGAGGTGATCCGGCTGGGCCACAGCTACTTCATTAACTGGGACCGGCAGATGTTCTGCTCACAGTGTAACACAGCCGCTGAGGCCAGAACCACCACCCTGAATGAAGAACTGGGCCAGGTGGGCACTGGGACTTTCTGTACTGAAATAAGGCTTATTTCAAGATTTATTGAGTAATTATGCAAATGAATAGTTGAATTAATATAGTTTATTTTATTAACATAGAGTCTAAAACTCTTTAAAACATTTAGTTTTGTCCTGGGGTCTTGAGTCCTTTGTTTGTTTATGTTTTGCTCCAATGCAGCCAGACTTTCTTGTTCACTTTCTGCATTTCTTTAAAGGAGACATGTCTTGCTTTTAAAGCCTTCGTTTTCACATTTAAATCATTCAGTTGGGCTCTTTATATACTGTAAAGTGGAACTGCAATGCTTTGGTCTGAATCCCTCCTTATTGTAACTTTCACCCCTTTTCTGAGGTGATTCTCAGAGCAACTCGTTTTGAGGCTGTCTCTTTAAATCCAAACAAGGCCCTTCGCACTCCTCCCCTCCTCCAGCTTCCAGATCGGTCCATTCTTGTTTGATAGAGGGGTTTATGACTATATAGCTGCACAGAAACTTTTTATATACAAATTATTAAAGTTGTGAGCAAGGGAAGACTTGAGAACCAGAGTCTGAGCCAGAACCAGTCTGACCCAGAACCAGTCTGACCCAGAACCAGTCTGAGCCAAAACCAGTCTGAGCCAGAACCAGTCTGACCCAGAACCAGTCTGAGCCAGAACCAGTCTGAGCCAGAACCAGTCTGAGCCAGAACCAGAGGAGAATGAAGACCACTAAATTGTAGTTGGTACGTTTAGACCTTTTTATAAGTTTTGTCACAAATACGACAACAGTTCAGAAAACAGAGAACTAAACAAGTTGAAAAATATGATTTGATCAGAACAAACAGAAACCTTAGCAGCTGTAACAAACCACTCGGTTGTAAAAATCAACACTCTTATAAAAGTTATTTAGCTTCTATTTTTGGAACAAATATCTTCTTTGTGCAGCTGAATGACAAAACACAATAAGATGAGCATAACTCAGTGACTTTAGTTTGATCCAATAATAAAAAAGATAATTTATTTACAGAATCAAAACAAATCACTAATATACAGCTTATTGTGGACAATCACATTTCCTATAAGGAGTCGAAACACTAAAAGACACTTAAAGGATGATTTACTGCAAACTAAAAAATGAATTATTTCATTTAAGAACATTCATTATGATGATTCAGACAAAAATAAAATGTTTCATATTAAAGCTTAACCACACCGCTGAGTTTAGTGAAGTAAAATATCTCAACAGAAAAATAATCAGTCACTGTGGTTTCACAGTTAAATTTCTAGCAATGATTTGCATTAAAACAAGAGAACATTGAAATAACATTTTTTATGATTTTCTTTTTTATTCATTCATAAAATTATGAATAAAAGAAGATAATTCTGTTTATTATCTGATTAAGAAGAAGAAAACAACTCTTTAATGTTTAATGTTTAAAGGGGCCGTCAGAGGCCTTAAAGGACAGTTTTACATGTTTTTTTCACCCGGGGTGACCACTACACAACACCAGGAGACTAAATTCAAATTTTCTGCACTCCTGGAGACTCCAAGCACAACAAAATGTATTTAACAGCTTAAAAAGTGGATTTTGCATATGTCCCCTTTAAACAGTGAGAAGGAGCAAGATTAACAGAAAGTCTGAAGTTCTCTTTAAAATGTAAGAAAATCTGCTTCCCTGGATAGAAATGAAGTGTTTTAAACTACAGTTAAAGGCCTTCATGTGACTTTAAACTCTGTGTTCATTTAGGTTGAATACATCTTTAGTGACAAGACTGGAACACTCACTCAGAACATCATGAGCTTCAATAAGTGCTCCATCAATGGACAAACCTACGGTAAAACAATAAAGAGAGACGCACACAGGGGTTGTGTACACACTGTGTCTTACATTAACTGTGCTTTGTTCTCCTGCCAGGTGAGAGGACAGACCAAATGGGAACACAACCAAAGGTTGATTCTTTTTTTAAATAGCTAATAATAAAATGTCTTAACACATGGTTTTATACGTTCTTATAGTTTATAATGAGTTATCACATACGTCCTCTGTTGTTTTGTCTTCAGAGGCTGGACTTCTCTCCCTTCAACCCCCTGGCAGACCCACAGTTTTGTTTTTACGACGACAAGCTGCTGGAATCTGTGAAAGTTGGCGACGTGCACACCCATGAGTTTTTCCGCCTGCTGTCTCTCTGTCACACCGTGATGAGCGAGGAGAAGAGTGAAGGTGAGCTGAAAGAGACGGGCACCATAACTTCATAAATCATACAGTAAATGTTGTTATTACTGGTCCTGGTGCTTGTCTGGACAGGACACCTGGTTTATAAAGCCCAATCTCCAGACGAGGGCGCTCTGGTGACGGCAGCTCGAAACTTCGGCTTCGTGTTTCGCTCCCGAACACCCGGGACCATCACAACCTCAGAGATGGGCCGAACCGTCACCTACTCGCTGCTCGCCATACTGGACTTCAACAACATTCGCAAAAGGATGTCTGTTATAGGTGTGTGTGTGTCAGCTTTTTATGGTTGTGTGGGGATTGTTTGTTCAGATCTTAAAGGATCCAGGATTAGTTATAACATTAGACTTTATTTGATAAACATTTATTTTAACTGTAAAATAAAGACTGTAAAAATACTGTTGGCTGTTCAGTGTTTATAATTTTTAAAATAAATTAATATATACGTATATTTTAACACAGAACCATTTTATTTGCACACAAAGCATTCTGGGTAAATGATGACGTGGATAGGTCCTCGGTGCGAGGCTGCTAGCGAGCTATATCCACCCTGAAGGTTAATCTTGGACAATATCTGATGATCGACTCTTTTAAATGAAACCAGAGAGCGTTGACAGAGAGGAGAAGGTAGAAATGACTCAGCCTGGAACTGAAAATATGGATGGAGGACAACAGAGCTGCTTCATGGAAGAACAACCTCAGATTAGCCTGTTAGCTTTAGCGTTAGCCCCAATGCTATCACCATATATATGTATTAGCTCAGCGCTACACATTCTCCTCTCGTCACTGAGGTCCTCCATTCACATGACAGAGAGGGGAACACAAAAATGACTCAGCTGTAACTGAAAATGTGGATGGAGGACCTCAGTTTAGCTTGTTTGTTGCACTAGCACCGAGCTAATACATATAAGGCAATGTAGCTTCAGTGCTAAAGCTAACAGGCTAATCTGAGGTTGTTCTTCCATGAAGCAGCTCTGTTGTCCTCCATCCATATTTTCAGTTCCAGGCTGAGTCATTTCTACCTTCTCCTCTCTGTCAACGCTCTCTGGTTTCATTTAAAAGAGTCGATCATCAGATATTGTCCAAGATTAACCTTCAGGGTGGATATAGCTCGCTAGCAGCCTCGCACCGAGGACCTATCCACGTCATCATTTACCCAGAATGCTTTGTGTGGAAATAAAATGGCTCCGTCTGTGTTAAAATATGTTTTTAAAAATTATAAAAACTAAACATCCTACAGTATTTTACAGTCTTTATTTTACAGTTAAAATAAATGTTTATTAAATAAAGTCTAATGTTACAACTAATCAGGGATGCCTTTAAATTGAGAAACAGCAGGTAAACTAACATTTCTGATGGTTAAAGTCTGTGTTTGTTTACATATAAAATGAGCTGAAGTTACTGAGAGCAGGTGGCCATCTTTATCTGCTCAGACTAAGGTCAGCCTGATGGAGGTCAATCATGTGACTCAAGCTTTTAAAACAAGAGCTTTGTTTACACTGAGTGCGTACCTGCATTTCAGAATCTGTCTGCAGGGCAGCTGTGGCTACAGTGTAGCTGACCATCATCAGTGTGTCAATGAATAATCAATGAGACACCAGTGAAACAACTGTTTTGTTCTATTTGTGTATCTTTGCATTTTATAAAATTCTGCTCAAATAGTTTGCAAAGACAGAAAATATGAAGAGAACATAAACGTGGGTTAAATTCAGTTCTTGATGCAGGTAAAAGGTAAAGTAAACTTAGCTGTGTTGTCAGCTTCAAAGCTTTGATTAGTTTTGACCCTGATTATTGATCTCATGAGAGCTGAATGTCTTCAGGTTCAAAACCAGTTTAAGGAAGGACCATTAAGCTTCACCAGCCAGAGCCAGAGTGTTTTCACTGCAGCTCTGAGACAAATGAAAAACAAGTTCACTTTTACTGAATAAAGTTTTCAGACGTGTTGAAATTTAATTTGACTGCAGAAAGGTTGATTACTTTTTCATCCTTCGTCTGCTTTCTGTCAGTGCGAAACCCAGAGGGACGGATCCGTCTTTACTGTAAAGGAGCCGACACGGTGCTGCTGGAGAGACTCCACCCCTCTAACCTGGAGCTGATGACTGTCACTTCAGACCACCTCAATGTAAGACTGGTTTATAACAGTGAGTGGTGCTGCAGCGCCATCTAGTGTCTCATCATTCAAACTGAGAATCTTTACCTAAATCACTACACAACAGAAGTGGTTAAACTTTATGACTCTTTAGGTGTTAATAATCTTCATGTTAGAGTGCACACAGCAGATATGTTGTGTTTTATGTGTGTTTTGGGCTTTAGGAGTATGGAGCAGACGGGTTGCGGACTCTGGCCTTGGCCTTCAGGGACCTGTCTGAGGAAGAGTGGGAGGTCTGGTCAGAGAGTCACCGGTTTGCAGGCAAGGCCACGGACTGCAGGGAGGACAGGCTGGCAGCGTCTTATGACCTGATAGAACAAGACATGATGGTGAGCCCAAAGGCTCCACGTTATTCAACCAAACAAGATGAAAACGTCTGTTTTAACACATCACCTCGACTCTAACTGCTTCAAGATTATTCTGTTTTTCACTGTAACATTGTGTAGCTGTTATTGTGTGAATGCTGTGAAACATTCACACTGTTGAGGCGGTCCAGTTTTCTTCTGGACGTTTTTCTGCACATTTAAAATTAGTTTATTTGTTTAATTTAAAAAACAAAACAAATTCATATACAAAAAAATGCTAATAAAATTAAATAAAAGGTAACAGAAAGAAGAAACAATCTTATAAT